GCTGTGGTCCCAAGGCTGGATGCTCTCGCACCACCGGCATTCCCCGCGCTGGTACCCTGCTCCAGAGCATTCCTTGTGCTGATACCCTGCTCTAGAGCATCCCCTGTGCTGGTACCCTGCTCCAGAACCTTCCCTGTGCTGGTTCCCTGCTCCCACCCTGCCTGTCACTCCCTGCTCCCATGGAGATGATGTCCAGCTTGGTTGTGCAGTGTCTAGGGGGATCCCTGTGGATCCCAGCCCACTCCAAGCTGGCTGCGGGAGAAAAGGCTGGAAGACAAGGGAGGCAGCTGCTGTCTCTCCTGGCTGGAAACCCTTTGCTTGCTGGATTGCAGGTTGTGGAAGGGAGAAGCTCCAGGAGAGCAGGACCTGCTTTCCCAGCCCAAAGCCAAGAACAGCAGGGTGTTGGGTAACACCAAAACCCAGCCTGACTTTGCTGGCTCAAGGCACAGCCCTCAAGGAAAACAGGGAAAACCTATCCAGCCTTACTCACCTTCCTCCCTGCAACACCCCAAGAGGCAGCAGCCTCCAGAGCAGCTCCTGGCCACCAGATCCCTCCCCACCTCCCATAGCCATGGGGAGGGGGTGGCAAAGCTGGCGGAGCCCGCAGCACCCTCTGACCCATCCCCAGCTGGTGTGGGCTGCAGGGGGGCCTGGGGAGTGCTGGGGACTGCTCTGTCCCCCTCCTACTCCCAGCAGGACCCAGGCATTGCCCAGCTGTCCCGGAGGCAGGAGACAAGGAGGGGGGTGAGGGGGCAGCAGGGTGTGCAGTGGAGCATGCAGGACCTGGGAAAGGAGAGTTTTTATTCACACACCACCTCCCTGCCCTTTCCCAGGGCCCCAGCAAGCCCAAGTCGAGCTGCACTGCCACAACCTGCCTGGAAGATGCTTCCATGCCTCAGTTTCCCTTCCAACCCCTCAGTGATGGAAATCTGGCCTGGGGGCAAAGTACTGGAAAAGCTCTGCCCACAGAAAGTGGAGGAGAGGCAGCCAACATCAGCCTTAGCATGGGGCCAGGGCCACCCCACAGCCCACATGACTGCCAAATCCACTGGCAACAAACCCACAGCTGGAACCAACCCTGAGCCTGGTGTGGCTCAGGGCTGTACACCCAGAGCTGGGGTGGGGAGGGGTCTAAGCTGGGCTCTCAGCTGGGTGGGAATCAAGGGATTTGCACCAATTTTTGGCAGCAAGAGCTGAGCCTTCTCCTCGAGGTTTGGGACATTGCCTCTTCCCCAGATGTTTACTGCTGTCCGGGGCTTTGAGGGGGTGACAGGGAGACAAGTCAGGTCTCAGAGCACTTCCAAAGGGCTTTTATTTATTCACAAAACAAACCCAAACACATATAAGGAAAAATGGGAAAACCAAAAAGCCCGACCCAGGAATATGCACAGTCTATTATTAACAAAAGGATTGCACAAACAGAGGAGTGAGTGCAGCAGAGGGAGCAGCTGGGACCTGCTCTGTGCTGCTGCCCAAGCCCTTCCTCACCTTTACACCCCATCCATGAGAACACAGAGATCATTTTCCTGGTGTCCCATTAGGAATCAAACACTTGGTGGTGAAGGCAACTGATGCTGCAGGATGGATCCTTCCACCTGAGCTGGGAGGGAAACAGCCTTTACCCCAAAGGCACGGCACTGGGAAGAGACTGGGCTTCTGGGTCCCTTTCCTTGCTCTGGGAAGGGATTTGGGGCCTCCCCTATGGTTTTCCATCTGCTTGTGTCCTGTCTGCCAGCTCCCTGCCTGCCCTGGGCACCCTCACCTGCCCTGAGCATTATGGAGCTTATGGGACAGAGCAGTCAAAGCCAGCATGTCTGGATAGCACAGGATGGAGAAGGATGGGGAGGCTACAAGGAGCCCCATCCTTTCCCACTCCCCAAGGGATTTTTTGGGCAGGTACACAGGCTGTGCTGAAGCCCCCCAGGAAGGGAAATCTCACTTGAGCTCTCCTAAAACCCCACAGAGTTTGCAGAAGAAACAGAGGAAATGGGCATGAGGATTGCAGATGGCGTGAGATCCAATGTCTGCATTTCTGCTGCATGGAAATGAGGGAGGGATCGGTATTTCTGATACCAAAATGGGAAGAAAAAGCTGGTATTGGGATTTCTGAGGGGTTTTCAAAGCAAATTGCAGAACAGCAGCAACTCGCTGCAGAGCCACTGGAACATCCTGGTGGGATTTCAGCCCCCTTTTTACATTTTCTGAGTATAATCTAACATCATTTTCACAGCAGAAAGTCCATTTTTCTCTCCTCCTCTCTTAAAAGAAATGGCTGAAACCAACCAGATTTCACACCAAAAGCGGTTCTGTTTTTCCAGGGGGTGGTCTTGGGGAAAAAACCTTCAGCCAGTATTTCAGGAGCTGAGGAGAGCCCAGTCCTCACCCAGCTCTTCCCATCCTCAGAGCCCAAACACTCACAGCGGACTCAACCTGTGCCCTTGTGGGGTGAGTGGGGAAACTGGGGCAGAGAGTGGGTGTCAGGGTTCAGCCCCTCTTTGTGGGCATCACCCCTGTCCCCCCTTACCTGCTGGGGGGTCCCGGTGGGGCGGGCGGTCATAGGATGTCACAGACAGCACCGGCATCCTCGGAGTGGTCGCAGTTGTGGACGTCCCAGCGGATGTGGGAGCAGCGCAGCAGCGAGGGCTCGTGGCCCTTGCACTTGAGGTTGTCGAGGAAGATGTAGCCCGTGCCCTGGCCGTACCGGGCCTCCCCCCAGGCTGCCATGGCGTGCCCGCAGCCCACCTGCCTGCACACCACCTTGGCGTCCCGCAGGTCCCAGGCGTCGTCGCACACCGTCCCCCACTGGGACAGGTAGAACATCTCCACGCGCCCCTCGCACCGGTGGCTGCCGTTCACCAGGCGCAGGGACCCTGCGGAGGGCACGGGGTGAGGCAGCTCCTGCCCGTGCCCATCCCAGTGCTGCGCCCCCCTCTCCACCACCTTGGAACAGCTCTGGTCTTTCCAAGGCTCTGCAGATGTTTGCTGGGGCCCACAGCTCCCCCACTGCCTCCAGACAGCCAGAATCACGGGGGGGTGACCAGCTGCCGGTACCTGGGTGACCCCCGGAGCATTGTGGTGGATGTTCAACTTGAAAGAACGGACAATAATTCTCTGTTCCTGGCTCAGCCCCTTTGATCCATCACCTCCCCTCCTCACCAACGTCCATCACCTGAGGTCCATCGTCTCTTCTCCCATCCAAAATCCAACACTTAATGGTCCATCACCTGAGGTCTGTCACCTCTGCCTCAACCAGCCTTGGAGGCACCAGGAGAGCCCATGACTTAATGGTGCCACTAGTTTTTCCCCCTCCTATGACCTGCTCCAGGTGGATGCTTCAGACACTGCCAAAGCCTGTGCCACTGCCCAAGCCACCTCCGTTTCCACACTGTGCCAGTGTGGAGCATCCTCAGGGCTGGCACTGAGTCCCCGGTGACAGCTCAGTACCTACCCTCCCTGGGACGAGTTGGGACCAACGTGGTGGTCGTAGCAGTGGCTTCTTGGAAATGGTCTCCAGCATCATCAGCACCTGGTGCAGTGGGGAAGGGGTGGGAAAGTGACTCAGGGGACACCTGACCCCAGGGCCAGGACAGAGCCCCCCAGCAGTGGTGTGGGATGGCTGGGGATGGATGCAGGGTCATGTGGGGTGGGATGTGCAGTCACTGCACTTCCTGGGATGTGTACAAATGGAGACCAGAGATGATAGACACACTCCAGCCATCACCATGGTGAACCACGGTACCAACTGCCATTGCTGTCCCCCATGGGCAGGAGGCCCCCCAGGGTCACGTCAGAGCCCCCCAGCAGCAGTGTGGGATGGCTGGGGACTGATGCCAGGGATGTGTGGGGTAGAATGTGCAGCCACTGCACTTCCAGGGAAGTGCAGGAACAGAGACCAGAGGTTGTATTCACATTCCAACCATCACCTGCACCACAGCACCGAGCACTGCTGCTGTCCTCCACAGGCAGGAGGAATCCCAGGGGCTCATTAATCACCCACCACCCCATTTGGAGACCCCACTTCCCGCAGCCCCCCCTGAGCACAGCCAAAATCCTCCCTACACCCATTATCTCATTGGTTTTCCACTCCACTGAGCTGAGCTTCACTGGAGACCCCCCTTCTCCCAGCTGGCAGCCCCCAGGCTCTCCCCGACTCTCACCTCGGCAAATGACCCCGGCGTCCTCGTGGTGGCCGCAGTTGTGCTGCCCCCAGCCCAGGTGGAAGCAGTCGGCCAGGCGAGCCTCGCCGCCGCCGCATCCCACGTTATCCAGCAGGACGGGCCCGCTGCCGTAGCCGAAGGAGCCGAGGACGGTGGCGGCGAGGGCGGCCCCGCAGCCCAGCTGCCGGCACACCACCTGGGCGTCGGGGAAGTCCCAGTCGTCGTCGCAGACGGTGCCCCAGGTGCCGCGGTGCCGCACCTCCACCCGCCCGCGGCAGCTCCCGTTCCCGTTCGCCAGCCGCACACCGCCACCTGCGTGGGGGCCCCGGCACAGGCACGACACCGGGGGGGACCAGGGCTCCACAGGGGGGTCCAGTGTCCCCTGCTGACCCTCCAGGGGTATGGGGTGAGCCCCCAGGGAACGTGGGGTGAGCGTCTGGGTTATGGGGTGACACGTAGGGACGTGGGAGCAGCCCCCTGGGGATGTGGGGCAAACCCCTAGGGACATGGATGCAACCCCCCCAGGGATGTGGGACAAAACCCTGTGGGCGTGGGGTGAGCCCCTGGGTTATGGGGTGACCCCTGGGGGCATGGGAGCAACCCCCCAGGGATGTGGGGCAAAACATTCAGGGCGTGGGGTGATTCCCTGGGTTATAGGGTAACACATGGAGACATGGGTGCAACCCCCTGAGGATGTGGGGCAAAACCCTGTGGGCATGGGGTGAGACCCTGGCCTATGGGGTGATCTCTGAGGACATAAGAGCGTCCCCTGGGGGCATGGTGTGAGCCCTTGGGAGCACGGGGAATGTCAGCTGAGCCCCTGGGGACTTAGGGTGAGCCCTGTGGATGTGGAGTGAGCCCTGGGGATAGGGGGTGACCACCCCCAGGAACGGGGAGCCCCATGCAGAACTAGCAGCAGCTGCACACTTACTTTCCTGCTCGACAGTCAGGAGCATGGTGGTGACCACCTCAGTGGCCTGGGAGGGCTGGTCCCTGCCGTCTGTCACTGCTGGGAAAGCATGGGGACACACAGGCATTGGGGGGTCCAGATCCAGCACCCACTGCCCCTCTTCAGTCGGTGCCAGCGGCCACCAGCACCAGAGCTGCCCCATGGCAAGCTACTGCCATGGGCAATGTCACTTCCAGAGTGTCACCCACGCGTGGCAGGACCCCAGGGTGACTATGTTGGGTCACAGCAGGACACAGATGCCCCCCAACAAGATCCCAGCTGAGTGTTGCTGACCTACCTGTGGCCGTGGCTGTGAGTGTCTCCTCGGAGTCCAGGGCCACCGAGGTGGTGAATGATGTGATGGTGGACGTGTCCAGCCCTGCAGTGACACAGAGGGACAGAGGTGAAATGGCAGGAAGAAAGATGCACAGCTGTGAACGTCCTGACCGTGGCAGGCAAACCCGGGTGGTTGGACTCGATGACCTCAGAAGTCTTTGTCTTTTCCGACCTGGTTGATTCTGTGATTCTGCGAGTCTGGATGCTCCAGGGCAATGGGGATGAGGATGGACCATGTCCATCTGCACATTCCTGCTGCTCAGGTGCTGGAAATGGGGCTTCTCCACCCCAGCCCCAGTGCTGGGGTCCCGCATGGGACCTTCTGCCTTATCCCCTACCCCTCTGAGCAGGGGCTGTTCATGGTGATGCCATCAGCTCACTGCCCAGGGGAGGTGCCAGAGGGGATGGGGATGTTTAAGGAGGAAAGGACCAGCCTGAGAAAACTGTCCCTTTTCTCCTGCATCAGCCTCTTTGTCCCCTAATAGCAGGAAAGGGAAAGCACTGGCACTTACTGCTCCCGTCATTAGCCATGATAATGAGGGAATTCAGGGGGATTATTAACATTATAAACAGTAATCAGCGGAGAATGGCAGAAATGCATCATTTCAGGAGGGGAAGGGGAGGCAGGCTGGGCCTGGCATCGTGCCCAGCCCCTGGCAGCCGCTTACTCATTCCGGACTTGGGCAGCTTGTTTTCCAGCCAGCAGAGCAGGGAAGTGGCAGAAGGAAATGGCAGGATGGCAGATGCATTTCCCCTGCAAATCACCACTCCAGCCGTGTCCCAGTCTCTCTGTGCAGTGTTGCATCCTGCTCCAGACCACCAGGATGACGGCGGATAAGGAGCAAGGATGTTCCTACAGCACCAAAGACTGGTCCCTGGCCAACCCTGGGCACCTCAGCATCTCTCTGAGGCCATTTCTCCTCAGAGACCGGAAAGTCCCTGGGTTTTCCGGGCCCTGGTACCTGCACAGATGACCCCGGCATCCTCGTGGTGGCCGCAGTTGTGGATGCCCCAGCCGAGGCTGTAGCAGGCGGAGAGGAAGGGCTCGCTGCCATCGCAGTTGACGTTGTCCAGGAGGATGCGCCCTGTCCCATAGCCAAAGTAGGCATTGCTCTTGTAATCCAGGGCCTGCCCACAGCCCAGCTGCTTGCAGACCACGCTGGCATCGCTCAGGCCCCAGTCGTCGTCGCAGACGGTGCCCCAGTTCCCGCGGTAGAAGATCTCCACCCGGCCCTGGCAGGTGTCGGGCCCGCTCACCAGACGGATGCTGCCGTCACCTGGAGGGTGGCAGCACGTGGTGAGAAGGATGTTGTGTCCCTGCACACGGCACAGGGATGCCACCGAGCCTGGAAATGGCAGTGCCCGTGGTGGCAAAGAAACCGAGTGAGAAAGAGCGGGGAAAGGGTGGTGCTTTAGGGCAACACGGCTTGGGAGCCATGGAAAGCTCTGGGATAGGGTTTGGCCATGGCCAGCACAATGATAGATCCCCGGGGTTCTGCCCCTCAGAGCTGGAGAGTTGGGGGGCTCAAGAGGGGCAGCAGGTGATGGTGGGAGACACTGCCCTCAGCCAGGATGTCCCCCCTGCAAGCAGCACTCAAGCAGCTTACTTTCCCCATCCTGTACCGGGGCTGTGAGGGTCCTGGTTGTCGGTCCTTCGCTGGCTTGCGTGGGTGAGAACTCTGCAAAGGGAAGCAGAGAGGTGGCACCTGCTGCTGCTCCACCATGAAGCTGGAGGGATCCCTCCCACCCCACTGCTCCAGGAGGGTTTGCACCAAACTAGCCTCAACAGGGAAATAAAGAGGGTTTGCAGCTGCACTGCCCTGCCCAGAGCTCTCTGCCAAGGGCTCAAGCAACTTCTGTGCCCTCAGAGCCACCTCCCCTACCTTCTTCTTCACCCCTTCCACCTCTCCTCTCCAGCAGTGCCCTGGCTCAGTTTCTTGCTCAATCCATGACCTCTGTTCTCTGGTCCAACACACCAGCCAACCCATCATCTCTGCCTTTCCATCCTTCCTTTTCCAAGCCCTGCTTCTGGAGGACACAGGGATTCACTGAGCAGCTGCTCTGGGTCTGCACAGCCTCACATTCAGTGTTCACTGATGCCTGGCTGATGAGCAAACCCTGAGTAGCTACACAGGAGGAAAGTGTGTGGGGTACATAGGGGTCGGCACGGAGTTGTTCCACTTTCACTTGCCAAGTTCAAACACTTTCCACTGCTTTTCTCACCTTTAGGAACATTTTCCTACTGAAAAGCTCAGCAATTTAAAGAAAGACAAGTTAAAAGGGGTAAGAGCAGTGGGGCAGCGACTGACTCAGAGGCTGAAACGTGGGTGGGCATGTGCTCTTTCCCCAAGGATTGTGCTGGAGAGGTCGCAAAGTCCCTGAGCTGGGAGTGAAAAGAAACACAAAACAGGCTGGTCACCTTATGGAGCACCAGCATGTGGAGCTGGGAGGTGACCTGGATTGAGGAAAGAGGTGGAGGGGGGATGCAGAGGAGGCTTGGCTGACCCATGATCATAAGAACAGAGGCTGGGATATGACTCTTGGGCTCTACCAAAGCATCTGCACCCCCCAAGGCTTGCAGCCCCCCAGGAGCTCCCTGCTCTCCTTGCCCCCAGGGAACCCAACCTCACTACCATTGCACACGACAGCCACGTCCTCGTAGTGGTAGCAGTTGTGGATGCCCCAGCCGTGGCTCCAGCACTCGCTCAGAGCTGCCTCCCAGCCCTTGCAGTCCACGTTGTCCAGGAAGATGGGCCCGCTCCCCTGGCCGAAGGTCATGGCAGCCGGGAGGGTGATGGCGTGGCCACAGCCCAGCTGGCGACACACCACGTTGGCATCCACGATGTCCCAGTCGTCGTCGCAGACGGTCCCCCAGGAGCCGTTGTAGAGGATCTCCACCCGCCCCTGGCACCGGCTGGGCCCGTTGGAGAGACGGATCTCTGGGAGGACGGGCAGAGGGAGGTCCCTCAGCAGGCAACAGGCCACGAGGTGACAAACACTCAGGGGGAGCAAAACTACTCCAAATCCCTGCTCCTTAAATAAAATGGTGACTCTTCTCTGTATCACAAGGCTTGGTGCTGCCCACCTGGTGGTGGGACATTGGGCTTCCCTTCATCTGCTGGAAGCAGAGGACATGGAGACTCAACATATCTCAATACAAGTGAGATGCACCAACAGCAAGGCTGGGTTGGACAGGGCTTTGACCCACTTGGTTTAGTGGAAGGTGTCCCTGCCCATGTCACGTTGGGGTTGGAACAAGGTGGGATTTAAGGTCCCTTCCAACCCAAACCATTGTGTGACTCTATGATCATGCCATCATTTCACCTCCTAAGGGGCAATAACCCAACAGGAGAAGAGGAAAGCAGATGTGAGGCGTCCATGTGTAGACATACAATGGGTGACAAGTGACAAGGTGCAATTAGCAAACTCTTATGAGCCTCAACGAACAGATCCAGAGCTGATCCCACGTGGGAGTCGGTGGGATGGAGATGATCCCTCAAGCTGCTGGTGACAGGGAGCAGGCATAGAAGTGTTCCTGGCCTGCCATGTCAAGGGAATTATTTGCTTGTGTGTGATGCATGGCACAGGGACTCAGCAGGAGGTGGCAAAATTCCGCTCTCAGGATAATAAGTGGAACAGGGATAATAAAAACACTCTATTTCCTTTCTGTAAAACAAATTTAGCTTCTTGCTGCTTTTTATTCCAAACCAATATGCTTCCTTTTTGAAATTCCCCAAATCCCTTTTTTTTTTTTTACCAAAAAACCGCATGTTTCAACTACAAAACTTCCTGGAGAAAAGTGATTTTAAGAGAAGAATCTCACCTGGGAATTGCAACATCTCAGGCTCGGAGGTGGTGCCTGTAAGGGAGAAGAGAAGGGATCAGCTCTGCAAGGGAGAAGAGAAGGGATCAGCTCTCCCCAGCCCTTGAAGCATGGGGAGCTCGAAGGATGATGGCAGCAGAGATGGGGTGAGCATGGTGGGGGACCCGAGAGCCCCTGGACCCTTTCCTTTCCTGCAAAGGCCTGAGGTTTGTAGGGGAAAGATTAAACACCTTTTCTCAGGGCATCAGTTCATCTGCTTCACAGTGGGGGAAACTGAGGCAGCATGTGGGTGACTGTGGCTCTGTGGTGGGACTGTGCTTGAAGCACCGGGTGACACGTGTGTGACACTGAAGAGCCCAGTGGCCAGCAGCAGCCACCCCAGGTGGGTCCTGCCTTGAGTCAGGCCTTGGGGATCTTCGTATCAATCCATGGCTCCATTCATGAATTGCTGCAGGCCCTGGGCAGCTCCTGCATGCCCCTGCCCTGTGCCCCATGGAAAAGTTGAGTGGTGAGATGGGGATGAGGAAAACCCATCCTGCCTGGCTTGAGAAACCCACTGGAGATCTCCTGATGGAAGATGCTGTGCCCTGTGTGCATTTTAATTGATTTTTTCTTTTTTTTTTTTTTCTCCCAACAAAGTCTGCTTTTTGCAAGCTCCATAATTATGTGCAAGCACCAACACACCCGTTGATAGGCTGCATCCACCTTAGGGGGTGAGCAAGCAGCCTCCAGAGGGAACTGAACGTTTGCAGGATGCATTTACATTCCAGCCAGCTGGGTTTGAATGAGGGCTCTGGAAGTGCCCTGCCAGCAACCCCACACTCAGGGTCTGGATGCTCAGGGAAGGGCTAAGGGAAAGCTGAAACTCCTCCTGGCAGCCTGCTCCTCTCACTGGGCTGGGCCCCCCTCCCACAATTTGGGCATTTATTTGGGCACAAAAACTGTCTCAGCCCCAGTGCTGAGTGATGTGGGGTCCCCCCTGGGATGCTGCCAGCATGGGGCACTGAGGGCTCCGACTTGTCCGGGAGGTCACAGCAGCATGATCCAGGGGACAGTGGATGGGAATGAGTGGCTGGACCTTGTGGACATCCCTGTCACTGCCCCTGTGGGTACCCTGGGAGTTCACAAGCTCTTGGCAGATGCCAGAGCCCAGCACAGATTCCTCGGCCATCTGAGGCACCTCAGGCTTGAGGCTGTGGCTGCACAGCCCTCTCCCATGGGTGACAACCTTCCAAAACCCTTCCAAACCTAGTGGAAGGTGTCCCTGCCCATGGCAGGCGGTTTGGAATGAGAGGAGCTTTAAGATTTCTTCCAAGCCGAACCATCCCGTGATTCTGTGATGCCTCCATGCTAATTACAGCACCCAAGGGCTCATCAACGCCCATGGTGGCTCCGTGGCCTCTTTTCCTCGCCCTGCCTTGGACCAGCCCTGTCCTGCTTCACGCTCAGCCCACGAGCAATGACGTGAAGGTCAATCCCAGCCGCTCCGGAGGCGGATGTCACCACCGTGAGAGGCAGCGTGAGCCTGGGGGGACAGTTGAGCAGATGAACCCACCTCCCTTTTCCTTGCTAGGACGTTGCCTGGGAGACCATTAAGTCAGCTAGAAAACAGGGCTGTCAAAGAAAGACCTAGAAGCCCCAAGAGAAACGAGAATAAGGCAACTGTCTAGATGTATCCATGAGTTAGCAGGGATGCTGCCCGTAGCTGGGATGAACATCAGCAGCCAGGGAGCTCCAGCCCTGGTCGGGCATTCCTGCCCTCCCCAGCTGGACCAGGCAGGCTGGAAAGGGATGCTGTGATGCCAGCAAGAAGTGGGAGTTACACAGGCAAGACCAAGGGAGCAGAGAGGCTCTAAAGGAGAGAACAGGGAAGGACATGGCAGCCCTGTGGGCTGGAAAACAGGAGAGAGAGATTGTTCAGCTCACCTCTGCACCAAAAATGTGGAGATGTGAGCGTTTCTAGGAAGAGCATTTCATCCTGGTTTGTATTGATTTTTAACACCTAGTCCACTCCAGTGCCGAAGAAGCAGTGGATAAAAAGACATTGATAAATATTCATTTTCCTTTAAGTCAAAATCAAAGCTCTGAAATATTCATTTAAGAGCATCCTCCAGCAAAGTCAGGAGAGATCTGAAAAAAATATGCCTGGTGTGTCTACCATAATGAGGAACGAGGGGAAAACGGTATCCTTTGAGAACAGAGAGAGAGAGAGGGCCCTCGGTGTTTCTCTGATCCAGCTTCACAAAGCCAAAAGAAAAAGGGAAATTGCTCTGAGTAAACACCGGTGCTAAACAAAACCACCAAATGGGAGGACAAATCGCCCTTAGTTAGCGACTAATCTCTGCCCATTAATGAAGAGAACCGGGAGAGCCTGGCGGTGCAGGGGACAGCGGCAGAGCCACCGGGGTCCCCTCAAGATCCCCACATGTCGAGTGTGGGCGCCGGGGCTGCCACAGCAGCTCGGGAGGGGACGGGAAGCTCCCGCTGAGGGAGTGGGAAGGCAAAACCTGATTTGCCTCAATTAGGGTGTCTGACTACATCTGAATTCCCAGTTTTCTGGCTGGCTGCGCCTTGGCACGGGTTTGCTGAGGCAGGAATGTGTTACCCACCGCCTGGCTGTAATCACACGGATCCAGTCACACCGGGATAACTGTGCTGCCTCAGCACTTGCGCAGACCCTCGTTCCAAAGCGGGAATGGCTTTTCCCAGTTCGATTAAAATGCTTCCCAGCCTGACTGGACAGTGCCTGCCAGGAGTGAGAAGGAACCATCGTCCTGAGGGGATGGGTGCACATTCCACCCGTCGCTTCTGCAGGATCAGTCCCACAGGTCCTGTGGAGCAACCCCAGGAGCATCCTTTGGCCATAAGCATCTTCCCATCGGTGTTGGACCTGCTCCCTCCATCCCTGTGCACCCTCAGTGCTGCTGGGGACACCATGCCAATCTTGCCCATGGAGAAAATCTGCCCACAAATCTGAGAGCCGGAGGGACATCGCGGGTGCCTAAAACCCCTCCCACCGCCCAACGCGGAGCTCACCGGTGGGGCTGAGAAGGAGAAAGAGGAGGAGGAGCATGGCTGGCATCAAGGAAAGGGGCAGCACCGCGATGTCCGGCCCCCCTGTGCCGTGCCGGGTGGCCAGACAGGGACCAGGTGTCATTGCTGCACGACAGTCCTGCCGCAGACAGGTATCCAGAGGAGGTTGTCCCTGAAACATGCAGACAGCAGTTAGTGGTGATGGCCAGAAGAGCCTGTGCCCACCAAGGACCATGCAGGACCTCTGAACATGCCCCTCTTCAGTATTCCCAGGAGCGGTGACCAGGAGACACGTGAAAAGTAATTCTAGTTGGATTTATTGAGAACAAGAGGTAATTTTTTGAGTGGCAAGATGAAGCTGAAAGGGCCACATCCCACCCACAAAAGGAAACTGGAAGCCAGAGGCCTCTATTGTCTCTGCTCTTTGTCATCCTGTGAGGAAAAAAAAAGCAGGGACAGGCATTTCTGTGGGAAGACAGTAATTTCTGGGGTCTGTAGGACAACCTGATTCACCTGGGGGATTGAGATGCAAACTCCACGGGGGTAAGATGGAAAGCAAACAGGAATGTCAGCAGAAAACAGAGAAGAGATTAAATATCATAAGATTCCATTTCCCCTTCATTTACTGCTCCCTGCAGGAATCACTGCCGAAGGGATGGATTTCTAGCTCTGTTTCACTCACAGACTGTTCGGGAGGGGGATGGGGGCTGGTCCTGCTGGCCGCGACACCTCTGGGAGCCCAGACCCTCATCCCAGCGGTGCCAGCAGTCGGCCTGACGGCAGCGTGTGCTGGTGGAGCAGTGCCATCGTGAGGATGCTCTCACACACAAAGCCAGGCTCTCAGGCTCAGCTCAGCCGAGACCTCAGATTAGTCCCTCCAGCCTGCACGAGGCACGCCATCTCCTTAAGGGATGCACACCAGCTACTGTCATCTACTGATGGTCAAAAACCTGGGAAAGGACATTGAAATCCACTGTATCAATGACCAAACCCTCCCTCCCATGGAAACCCCTCCTCCAGCCTTTTCCTGCTCCTGTTTTTCCCACGCACAGGATGAGAAGAGCTCCCAGGTGGGATCATGTGCTGGTGTCCACCCAGCCAAGGTCCCTTAAGATCGTGGGTTGAACGGGCTCCAGAGCCTCCAGATCAAGGCTTTGTTGCCTGCACCAGAGAGAGATGATGGTGGACCAAGGGTTTTTATGTGCAGCAGCCCGAGGTGATGGAGGTGCAGGATGGAGCCTCCACGGATGGGACAGGGCCCCGTTACTCCTCCCTGGTCTCTCTCTCAGCTCCCGCTGCCCAGAGGAGGAGACCCGCCAACAGACAGACGGCTCAGTGATGGGGGATGAAAACCAATCTACTCGCTGAGGTGGTGGCTTTCAATACTCCATTCATCCCTCCTGCAGCGCCGAATAATGTCGCCTTTTGTCCCGCCGGCCCTCCCCGCCCTCCGGAGGGGCAGGGCTGACAGACGGCCCCTCCGCCGCCCTGCCCCGGCCAAACCCCGGCATCGCGTCCTGCTCGCAGGGACGTTGTCATCGCCGGCCACTTTTGTGCCGGAGCCAGCGCGTTCCTGCTCCCTGGAAGGGTGGCAGCGGGCTTTAACCACTGCGGTGCTGTGCCACGGCCGACCCCAGAGAGGGAAAACCTGATTTGCCTTCTCTGTCCATTGCTCTTCCACCTGCTTCTCCATCCTCACCCCAATGCTCAGGGTTCAGCTACGAACGGAACCCCCTTCCTTGCACCCAGGGATGTTGGGGCCCTTTCAGAATGTCTATAGATTAAAAACTACTTTTAAGCCATAATTAGTCATTGTGGCACTGCAGCAAAGCAAAACATCCCTTTTAACATTGCCCAGAGAAGCTGTGGCTGCCCCATCCCTGGAAGTCTCCAAGGCCACACTGGGTGGGACCTGGATCAACCTGGGCTAGTGGAAGGTGTCCCTGCCCATGGCAGGGTGGAACGAGATGAGCTTTAAGGTCCCTTCCAACCCAAACCCCTCTGTGATTCTGTGAGGATTCTATGATTTAAAGGGTTGCTGAATGTGGGTTTCTGGAAGTCCCTTCAAACTGAGGTCCTGCAAGCTGTCAGGTGTCCTGTAAAAGCACTTCCCATTATGGACCCTATGGAAGGAGCAGCAAACCCCACATCACCCCCATCCTGCACAAGCACTGCCCACTGGGGCTGCTGCAAAACTCCCAGGGGAAGACCAGGGCTCCAATGTGGGGCACAGAAAGTCCCTGCTTTCACCCCAAATAACTCACCACAGCAGACACACTGTCTCCCACCAGCATTTTGCCCACAATGAAAACTCCCTCCTCCCACCTGGACATGAGACTGCACAGGTCCTTCAGTCCCCTTTGGTTCCTTCTGTACCCCTTGGCCACAGCTGGAATGAGCCCCTGCTCTCTATTTGTCACTTCTTCTACTTTTTAATATTCATGTAACTTCAGGAGAAATCACAGTCTTTCATCCACCACCACCCCACCAGATCATTATTTGTAATTACCACCCTGACCTAAAAAAAAGTATCGTAAATCCACATACCTGTTTGATAATTTCTCTCCAGTATAAAAGAGGGTATATCAAATCCCAGAAATATCTATTCTCTTTTGAAATAAAGGAAAGAGCTGGCTAGTTATTAAAAAAATTTAAAATAATGGTTGAAATTAATATTCCCAGTAAGAGGTGATGGGGATAAGGCAGGAATTTTTTCTTTAGGTGAGATCTTGTTTAAAAAATTTAAAAAAATAATAAAAGGAGAAGAAAAAGGATCTCATCCATCAACAGAACAGCTCCAGCCCGTCATCTCTTTGCACCTTTGGGGTGGCTGCTGCTGGGTTACAGCGGGATGGCAGCCCTGCATCCCATCCTGGGGCAGGTCATTCCAAAAGCAAAGGAGAAAGAGAGGGAGGAGGAGGGGGAAGAAGAGGAAGAAGAAGGAGAGAGAAGGAAAGAGAGGGAAGACCGCTAAGGAGACATGGCGGGGAGGGAATGGCTCGGGTTTCAGGGAGGCAGGCAGGGACACATCCTTAAATTGGGTGCTGGCAGAGCCTGGGTTACGCCTCAGGGGAAGGGAGAAGCTTTTTCAGAGGATTTGGGCTTTTCAGCTCCTTCCCACCTCCCTCCTCAGCTGTCTGAGTGCCCACCTGGAGAGGAAGTCAGCAACAACCATCTGGCTGGAAATATTTCTGTCGATGCCTGAGCCAGCACTGGGATGCAACGGGAGGGGACAGTCCCAACATCTTGCCCCTCCTGAGGGATTTGGGAACCTGCTCCTCAGACAAACCATGGTCCTCCCTGCCTGTTCCTGGGCAAGAAGTTACCTTTAGAGGTCCTTTTTTTCGGGATTTTTCCTGCCTGGCCATCCAAGGCAGCTCTGCTGAGGACGTTAGAGGGACCTGCCACGTCCTTGCTCTCTTAGCCTGCAGTGAAGGATGTCCTGTGCTGGAAACCTTTCCCATCCACCTCCACCACCTCCTGCTCTACACATTCATGTTGTCTCCTTCAGCTGCCAACCGGGGCATCTCTTTGTTTTAAGAGGAATTGTGTGCATTTAATAATTTCTAACCATTATAGCCTTTTAACCGTTTTAACCATCATTGCAAGTAAAAGTCGAGTAATGGGGTCTCAATAGGCTTGAGAATCATGGAAAATGAACCTCCAAACATATTGGGTTTTCCAGTCTTACAAAATCTTAAGCTTCCCAGCAATTTTGGGAGCCTGGTGTGATTTTGGCTTTGAACAAGTTGATCTTATGAGCTACAGGATTCACTCTCACAGGAGGCAGCATTTGCCTCGTGGCTCTTGCTGCTGGATTGTTTACTCATTCCTACACAAAGGCAGACCCTTAAATACCCTAAAATGCCTGTGTTTCATGTTTTAAGCCCTCACAAAGCCAGCTCTGGCTACAGCTGTCGCCAACTGCTTCTGCCATTACCTTCTTGTAGGGATTCAGTAATTAGCAATTAGGCATTTTTATTCCCCAGTAGCAGCAAAGTTCTAATTAACCAGATCATGAGTGAAAGTTTCAAAGGTGCCTTTTAAGTCTGTTTTGCCTAAACTTTGATAAACTCCCCGCTGTCCTGGCTGTCTGCCAGGCCCATGGACTGGGAATCGTCAACTCCAGCATCGATCCACATCCAGGCTTTGGGGACCAGGAGTGTAAGCTGCCCTAATGTGGGCATGCAGGGATAAGGTCAGCAGCCTGAAGATGCCTTCCACCCTGCCCAGAATTTCTCTGGCCATTTGAGCACCATCTCAGATGTTTTCCATGTCTGCATCCTTCCTGCATGTGCCCTGAGTGGCTTGGCAGTATCAGGCTGTGGGATTATGCTGCTCCGAGGAAAAGAAAACACAGCCAGCCTTATTCGAGGAGCAGCCACAACACAAGAAAGGCTAATTATAAAATTCCACAGGACGGCACGGCTGTTCTCTTGTGTGCTGGAGAAAAAAGCTCTTTTTGTGCTTCGTGATGGTCCTGCTGCCTACTCAGGCAGGGACACTCAGAGACATCAGTGATGCTCACAGCAGAGTGGCTTATGGAGGGCTCAGGGCCATCCCCACATCCACTCAGCATCTGCCATGTGCCACGAGCAGCACCTACCACAGCTTCCTATGGCAGCAGGTGGCATTTCCAGCAGATCTGTTTTCTGGCAGCAGCTCGGTCATGGGTGGAAGCTGGGCAAAACAAGTGGCTCACAGATCTGCAGAAAACACAGAGCCTCCAAAAATATAGTAATGATAATATAAACAGATTTTCCTTTTCAATTAGCCAGGAAACTACAGAGAGGAGAGACAAACTCGTTTGTGTGTCCCATGCCACGGCCAGGAATTGTTTTGGGGGTGTAAAGAAGAACCCGGTGCCATACAAAAAAGCCATAAGCTGAAACAAAAGGCATCTCCTTGCTGTCAGGATGGAAGGATGGGGCTGAGCTGATCCTCAGGACACCAGTTGCTGTTGTGAGCCATTAGCCAGCTTATAACGAATGACAGGATTCCCCTGCTGATTGCTGAGCTAAATCACGGTGTACTTAGGGGTCTCCTGCTGCTGCCTGAGCTTTGGGGGGCAGCAGCACGAAGGATGCTGCAACTGCAATGGGATGAGCCACCCCTCCTTCCCCTGTTCCTCCTGCTGCTCCGGAGCACGAGCAGCAGATGGGATCCTGTGATGTGGGGTCCCAGGAGAGGAGCTCTCACCCCCAAATCAATCTGTGTCCAGCAGCCTTAGGAGAAGGGAAAGGTGTAAATGCAGCACAAGAGCATTTTGGTTTCCTGTCCTAACATTTAGCTCTGCCTCAGTGCAGAAAGAGCTGTGCTCCTAACACACCTCTGTGCTAATTTTAAGGTATTTTCTGGCGGTTTATAAGTCCTGAAGTAAAGGCAGGGCTGAGGAAAGGGCGGTGGCAGCCCCCAGCATTGCACTCAGCTGCAGCAAGCTGGAGCTGCGGGAGAGGTACCCATCCCCTCCCCAGACAAAATCACCTTTGTTCCTCCCCGTAGTCTGCTTCCTGCCCAACGTGCTGCAGAAACCACCTCAGCCAGGTGAGAAAGAGCAGCCCAAGGACGCAGTGCTGACAGGAGGCTCTCCAGAGGGCAGCTGACCCACGCCGTGGGCTCCAGCCGGCATCCAGAGCTGCGGAGGAGCAGGCACGGATCACAGCGGGGAAGAGGGGATGGGAAACGGGCAGCTGGGTCCTCTCCATCACCCACGTTGGTCACAGCAAGGGCACTCGCTGTGGGAATGAGCTTTTAGAGTATGTCTGTAACTCCCTGCCTTTTCTGGGTGTCATTATCTCCATGGGGTGAAACCTCACCCTGCACTGGACTCCTGGCAGTGGGATCCACTGGAACAGCAGCCATATATATGTATATGTGTGTGTGTGTACATATATATATGTGTGTGTGTATTTATACGTGTAGGTATATATTTATGTACGTATACGAGGCGTCCAGTGGGACCAGCACTTGCTGGCTTCTCTGCCAGCCCTGGGGAATCCAGGCATCCCGCTTCTGCCGCAGCATCGCTGTTGTGAGATGGGTGTGCTGCAGCCTCAGTGCTTTTAAAAATACACCCCTGAGAGCCCAGACCACGCCCAAGTGTGCGGCTGGGAAGTGGTGACCTGTCTGGGGACACGCAGGCTGACAAGACAGTCGGGGTGGACATCGCTGCCTGCTGGGGCAGGGACCTGTGTGGAGATGCCGTGTCCGAGCCTGACACTCCAGGGAACAGCTTGGGTTGGAAGGGACCTTTAGAGGTTTATTTCGTTCCGGGAATGCTCCGGAGCGATGGATCACCTTGTCGGCTGCCAGGCGGCTGAGCGTGCACTAGGTGGCAACCAGCTTCAGGGAGAGGCGCTTGCGGCAGCCGGGAGGGGCGTTTGGTTTGGTCAGGGAGAGCAAAGCTCCACTGGGAACCCCCAGGGACCCGCCAGTGCGGTGGGCACAGCAGGCAGAAGGCAAAGCAGGACCAGTCCTGTCCATAATTAACATTAATGGAGAGGGGAGGGTG